AGTTCCTGTTGAGGCGGTGCCCCTCCTTGGGACTGTAAGTCGGCGCTGGATTCTCGTTCCGGCGGGGATGGAGTACCGCCCCCTCCCTCATGACCAAAGCAGCTGACGCGCCGGGATACACTACTCAGTCTGCCGCTCTCGGCACTCTCGTCAATACTCGTGCCACATCAGAAGGTTGTATCGGGAGAAACAACTACTTTCCGCGGACGGAGCAAGCGTAGTTAAGAACGACTGTGTTCAAAGAAGGAAGAACGCAGGATGAAACATTTTCACTCAACAGGAGGCATATTCGAATTGACAAACGTTAGCTTGCAAAACGTGAAAATATAAAATTCATTGAACGAAATGAAACGAAAAATTACATTAAAATCTAAAAATGTAAACAGATGTAATCAAGTACTTTATGAATACTTCTGATTCTGTACGACACACAACTTAAGTAGACTGAACTTATTAACAATACGTTGTTTTATTTCACTAGCTAATGAGCTAGGTCGAATTCAACAATTGTGTGGAAGCAAATTCAAGCAGCCGGAAGCTCTGATAAGTAGTTTCCCGTGGTTTCTTCGATCAACACCGTAACCAGCCAGGATCACACGTTATCTTTATTCCTCTTTCCTTACTCATTCAGACGTAAACAAAACACACACACACTTATACTTACATACACAACACTTATCATACATTTTGGGACTTCTGTTGGAAGCGTAGAGCTTGTACTGGCTGAAAGTCCAGTCAAAGGGTAGAAAATAAGGAAAATTTTTGGGATTCGGGAAAGGGAAAGTTTTGGAATTTGGTGCCTGTATGTTTTGGATTGATGAACACGAATATCATATTTGTCAATATATGAGCCGTTTCTCAGCCTGGAAACGTGTGCCTACCGGAACACGGGGGCGGCGGAGGACGGGGGAAGAGCTCCGTAAGCAAACTTGTAGGTTGGTGTCAGATCTTATATTCCAACGGGAGAGGGGGAATTTTCTATTTCCAAGGATGTATCATGACAGGCGCTGCATTTACGTGATTAACGACCGTAGTAATTGTTGAGCCACCCGGATTAATAATCTAAATAATCAAAAAGCACTAAATAATCAATCGAAATAATGCATATCCGGGTAACCTAGGCACAGAAGTGCTGTAGCGATTTTGGGACAAAGGGGCCTGGGTTCGAATACCGCCTCGGGCATGGTTGTTTGTGTGTTGGGTATGTGTAATGTGGTTTCTGTCGCCTGTGGTTGGCGTCAGGAACGGTATTCGGGCCTAAAACCTTCGCCAAATCAGGGTAAAAATATGGAGTGTGCGGCACATTAATAAAAATGAGTGCGCGCCTAGAAACGTGAAAAGGCAATCAATCGCGTGGAGGGGGCGGGGTCGTGATTGGCGCGCGCGCGTGGTCGCAGGGCCCGCTGGAGGCGCTGGCCAGCAAGGGCGCGGCGTGCCTGGCGGGGCTGCTGCACGAGGACCTGGCCGGGCGGCTGTGCCCGAACCGGCACGCGTCGCTCACCGTCATGCGGCAGGAGCTAGCGCGCGAGCGCCTGCTGGCCAAGCACCTGGCGCCGCAGGACGA